ATCCCATCAGAACCTTCTGCAGAGCGGATGGCATGACTCAGAGTGGTCCACTCAAGTGCAGCAGCCACGGCTGCAACTGGAATCAGAGGTGAGGTTCTGTGGATGTGAGTCAGGACCCCAGAGGTGTCTGAGCCTCCTGAGAAAGGAACCTTTAATCCGAGACCAGAAGGATGAATCAGAATCAGAGGAAAGGAAGCAGGGAGAGAAAGGCGAACGTTCTGTTCAGAAAAAACAGGAAGTTCAAGGGTAGGAGAGCAGGGCCCTTTTGTAGAACTAGGGGAAAAAATTACCTGAGGCTGGAATAGAGACAGCAAGAAAGGAGGCGAATAAATGGTGGGAAATGGAACTTGGGGGGGGCCTGTAAAGCAAGTTGAAGCTTCATCTGAAGGGCAACAGGAGCCACTGAAAGGTTTTTAACAGGGGAGAGAATGTTCAGATTTTCATTTCTAAAAATGGTTATAATGTCCCCTCAGCAGGTGGACTCCCTGTTGCTTTTCCAAAGAAAATGCAAGCATCAAAGTGGCAAACCAAACTTTTGTGGCAACATATAGCATATATGGTCTGCACACATGGGGCCTTCAAATACCAAGAGATTCTTCTACAGATGCAAATATTGCCTACAGATTCTGTTCAGATTGGAGGACCTGAGCCCAAAGCCCCTCCCAACACAGGTCTCTAGAAATGAGATAAATGTGGTTTTGATCCATGACAATGTTAGGAAGCTGGAAGGAGTTTCCTTATGAATAAGAAATCTTGAAAATTCCCTGAAATATGGAAGCCAGTCAAATCAGAGTTTAAAAGGATCCCTATACTGAAGCTCATGTGGGCAAACACTTTTGCATAAAAATGGGAGATGGGAGGTAGCTCCAAGAATACTCAAAGCCTTGAGGTAGGCCAGGCGTGGTGGCTCACACCTGTAATCCCAGTACTTTGGGAGACCAACGCGGGTGGATCACTTGAGGTCAGAAGTTCAAAACCAGCCTAGACAACATGGTGAAAACCGCATCTCTACTGAAAATACAAAAATTAGCTGGGCGTGGTGGGACACGCCTATAATCCCAGCTACTCAGGAGGCTGAGGCAGGAGAATCACTTGAACCCAGGGGGGTGGAGGCTGCAGTGAGCCAAGATCACACCACTGTACTCCAACCTGGGCAACAGAGTGAGATGCCATCTCAAAGAAAAAAAAACAAAAGCAAAAACAAAAAACAGGGATTGCTGGGGCCCACCCCATGAGCTTCGGATTCATTTGGTCTGGGTTTTCATTTCTCATAAGATCCCAAGAGAGGTTGATGCTGCTGGCTCAGGGATCACACTTTTAGAAGCATTGCTCTACTGATGACCTCTGCAATTTTAAGTACTAAACAGCTATTTCTCGTTTCATCAAGTTTTGCAATCTCTTGACCTACCAGTTTAAAAGATTAAGATACTAAGAAAACTTCTGTTATTCTACTTTTACTTTCATTTAATCAAATTTAATGACATTTGCATTTTATGTTATCACCATAGTTCTGATTTTGGCTTGACTGTAAATACTGAAAACCAATAAATAGTGCTAATTTGATTGTGGCTTCATGATTATTGCTCACAGTTGAGCCAAAACAAGTGTCATGATTATATATCCTCCTCTATAGTTGCAAAGTTAAAGTCCAGGAATATGCAACTTCTACTGCAGATAGAACATTTCTAGGATCAACATTCTTTTCTTCTTTATACTCTTCTACTTACTCAAAATCCTACCATTTTAAGTTTTGGTATGCTGTGTTTCCATTTCCATTTGCCTTAAGAAATTTTTTAGTTTTCCTTTGATTATTTCATTGACCCACTGAAGGTCTCACACTGAAGGTCTCACATCATCAAGTAAAAGTTCAGTCCTAAAACTATACACATCATAAGTTCTCAAAACTCATGGTCTAAAACTGGTCATGTGACCAGGCGCAGTGGCTCACCCCTGTAACCTCAGCACTTTGGGAGGCTAAGGTGGTCAGATCACCTGAGGCCAGGAGTTCAAGACCAGCCTGGCCAACATGGTGAAACCCTGTCTCTACTAACAATACAAAAATTAGCTGGGCGCGGTGATGGGTGCCTGTAATCACAGCTATTTGGGAGGCTGAGGCAGGGGAATCACTTGAACTTGGGAGGCAGAGGTTGCAGTGAGCTGAAATCACTCCACTGTATTCCAGTAGCAACAGAGTGAGACTCTGTCTCCAAAAAACTCAAAAATACTTGAGGTAGAAGAGCCTGGGAGCAGTAGTAGCTCTACATACCTAAAGGGAAATGAGTTGGGGCACCAAAGTAGCAACTGTGAGGTCAACATTGCCCTTTGGACTAAGCAGCAACAGAGCAATAGAGGTGTCTGCCCCTATGGAAGAGCCAGGAGTATGAGCCTTTAGGACCCAGAGCTAAAATAGTGTTCCAGGGGACTGGTGACATAAAGAAAGAATGAGGAGCTCCCTCCCCATGAAATGCCTCCCTGGCCGCTCACACCCTGTCTCCTGTAGGTAAACTGCAATAAACAATCAAAGACAGGCTAACAGGGATCCCCCAAAACAAAGATGATTCTTCAGTTAAGACTCACTAAGCAATTGTGGAAATCTATCTCTGTGCAATAGACATCATCCTCTTACCAAATACAGAACTTGCACCTGAGGAAATAGAGCTGATAGCTGAGCTGGGCTGAATAATTAAATTATCGGGGAGATGTAAGATTACCATATGCAAACACTGTGAATGATTATTTATTTATTTATTTATTTATTTATTTATTTATTTTAAACAGGGTCTCACTCTGCCACCTGGGCTAGAGTACATAGATGTGATCACAGCTCACTGCAGCCTCAACCTCCATGGCTCAAGCAACAATCCTGCTTCAGTCTCCCAAGTAGCTGGCACTACAGGTATATACCATCACACCCAGATAATTTTTGTATTTTTTGCAGAGAAAGGGCTTTGCCATGTTGCCCAGGCTGATCATGAATTCCTGGGCTCAAGCAATCTGCCTGCTTCAGCCTCCCAAAGTGCTGGGACTACAAGAGTGAGCTGCTGCAGCCAGCCATGAATGATTTCTATTTGGGAAGTTAACTTAAAATTTGATAATTTAAAATATTCAATATATAAGCTGAGTAGTAATAGAATGAACTGCCAAAGAGAAAATGTGTGAGTTATAAAATCAAGCCAAGAAAACTTCCAGAATGTAACTAAGATTTTTATTTTTTCATATTTTATTTATTTATTTATTTATTTATTTAGAGATGAAGTCTCACTGTGTCGCCCAGGCTGGAGTACAGTGGCATGATCTTGACTGCAACCTCTGCCTCCTGGGTTCAAGTGAGTCTCATGCCTCAGCCTCCCGAGTACCTGGGATTACAGGTGCCTGCTACCATGCCCAACTAATTTTTATATTTTTAGTAGAGATGGGGTTTCACCATGTTGGCCAGGCTGGTCTCGAACTCCTAACCTCAAGTCATCCGCTTGCCTCAGCCTCCCAAAGTGCTGGAATTACAGGTGTGACCTACAACACCTGGCCAGATTTTTAAAATGTAAAACAGAAGTTAAAGTGATATATAATATAAATTGGACTTAGCTAGAATTTAAATCTTCTGTTCTTCAAAAGACACTGTTAAGAAAATAAAAATACAAGCCTAGACTTGGAAAAAATGTTTGCAAAACATGTATCTATTAAAAGACTTGTATCCAAAATATGTAAAGAACTCTCAAAACTCAATGATAAGAAAAAGAAACAACTCAATAAAAAATATGCAAAAGATATGAATAAACACTTAACTAATGAAGATATATAGATGGCAAACAAAAACATGAAAATATGCTCAATATGATTAGTTATTGGAAAAACAAATTAAAACCTTAAGAGACTTAATACCACTACATGCCTATTAGTATGACAAAAATTAAACAGACTGACCACACCGAGTACTGGTGAAGATGCTGGTGAACTGGCACTCTCATACACTACTGGTAGGAAGGTAAAATGGTGCAACCACTTTGGAAAACAGCGTAACGGTTTCTTTAAAATTTAAACATGTACCTACAATATAATTTAGTCATCTCATTCTTAGGTTTTTATCCAAAAGAAAAGAAAATACACGTCATACAGAGACTTGTCTACAAACATTCACATCAACTTGATTTTTAATAGCCCAAAAGTGCAAACATCTATAGATGTCCATACGTAGATGAATAGATAAATAAATTGTGGCATATTCATATAATGGAATAACTACTCAACAATATAAAGGAATAAACAAGCAATAACATGAATGAATCTCAAAATAATTTTGCTGAGTGAAAGAAGACAGAAAAATAGTCCATATTGTATTATTTTATTTATATAAAATTCTAGGAAATATAACTAATCTACAGTGACAGAAAGCAGATCAGTGGTTGTCTGGGATCAGCAGTGGGAGGGACAGGTGGGATGGCAGAGAGAAATTACAAAAGGCAAGAAGAAACTTTTGAGAGTATTAGATATGCTCACCATCATGATTGCAATGATGGTTTCCCAGGTACAGACATATGTCAAAACTTATCAAATAGCATCTTTTAAATATGTACAGTTTACTGTATATCAGTTATACCTTAATAAGGCTATTACTGTGTGTGTGTGTGTGTGTGTGTGTGTGTGTGTCTGTATCGGTATGTCTCAATTTTATATGGCCATGACTCTTTTCCCTGCTCACCTGTTGCCCCAGTTTGCAGAGCCATGACATATGCAATGAGACAGACCTAGGCGTGATCCTGGCTCCACTGTCATTCTGGCTGTGTGCCCTTCAGTAAATGATTTACACTTTCAGAGCCTTCATTTTTTTCCTTCAAAATGGAGTAGTGCTTGGGATTATATTAGTGAATGTCAAACGCCTTTCACATAGTAGGTTCTTGAAAACTTTAGACCACCAATCACCCCAGAAACTGAACCAGCCATATTTATGATTGCCCCTAAGGCATTAACTTTATTTTTAGCTAAAGACACTAGCATGCAATCGCCTTGAGTCCAAAGGTCCAGGGGGAAAGATGTTGAAATGCTGAGCACTGCCCTGCAGGCCCATCTGCTCTGCATTAGTCAGCCTTCCTCTGTTTATTATTCCATGTGTTAAATCTCCTCCAATTCTTGTGTGAAAAGTTCGGGCGCACAATAACCTCTTTATCACATTTTCAAATTCTGGGCCTGTTCTGGAAAGTTTACACCTTTTTCTTGTTCCCATTGTTTTCATGTGGATTCAGATTTCTGAAAAAGGCATTTGGAGCACTTTGCTGAAAATATTTGTGTGTAAAGCTTGATGAGACAAACATTGCCCAAAAGTGAGAATTAGATGTCAGAGGAATTAAAACTATACCATGTGGGCCATGAGGTACAGCTGTGGCTGTGTGAGGAGAATCTGAGGCTCGGGGTGGTGGTTGAGAGCCTGTGGCTGGGCAATACTCTTAGCCGCTCTCCTTTGGGGAATAAATTAAATAATACTGAAAAGAATAACAGAAACATGCCACTGTTGGCGCAGAGAATAAAAGGGTCACAAAACTCTGTAAAAATAAATGCATCATAACAATATTGCTTACCATTCATTGAGTATTATTTGTGTACCTTGCTTCACTAAGTGCTATTTTATTGAAACCTCACAACACACCTTGAGTTAGGTATAGAATAAGCAAGGGTTCTTTTAGCCATAAGTGACAGGAAGTCCACCTCAAACTGGCTTACCACATAAAGAACTTTTTATTGGATATGTAAGTTTAAAGTGCAGATTTAGTTCTACCTTCAAGTGAGACTTGATCCAGCAGCTCCAAAAGATATTTTCAAAGACCAAGACTCTTTTCCTCTTCTCTCTGCCTTCTTATTAGCTTTCTCTTTGGGCTTCATGGAGTCAGTTCAGATGTCCCAGGTTTCCCATGGTGGCAAAATGGCTGCAGCTTTTCTAGACCTCACATCCTTACAGGGAAAGAGAGAATAAACCCTGAAATTCACTCTCATTGGTCGCAAATGGGTCATGTGTCCATTCCTAAACAGATCACTGTGGTGGGGAGGGGGAGGTGAGTAAGAAAGGTTGATTATATCAAGTCTTTGGAGTAGCGGATGGGGAGGTAGTCCACACCCAGTAACTAGATGTCGGTTCAATCTCAACCAAAGCTGCAGGCTGAGAAATGGGGAGAGGTGGCATCCCAAGGGAAAAAAGGGAAAGGGCTAGTTCCAAAAGGGAAATGGATGCTGGGGACACATCCAGTGAACGTCCACTATAGGGTACTCATTCATTCATTGGTTCACTATTTAGAAATTGTCAAACAGTATTTAGGAGCTGGGGCCATATCAGGAAATAAAAAGCGAAAATCTCTATGGTAGATTCTGTTGATGCCCCCACTGCATGTCCCCTTGACACACCTGCAACTGTGTTGGACAGTTCCTATGCACAGGAACTGTGTCTACCTCTCTGCTTCTTGGCCAGAAGGCTTTCTCTGCACGGGGCAAGCTTGCTCAGCCCATGCACAAGTCAGTCTGAATGTACCAGAGATTTAAGCCTCCCTACATTCAACAATGGGCAGGAGTTGGGGACAATACTCCAGTTTTTCTATCTCTAGGTAGGAAATGTATGAGAATTTCAGCTCAACAGGGCTTCTCAGAGGATCTCCAAAGAATTGTCCACAGCACTAATAAGTTTACTAATGCCTCCTTTATTGATTTTACTTTCTATGGTTTTTTCCCCCAGTTCCCTTTCTTATACCCTTCAGGATCATCTCCCAAATGAACAGCCAACCCCATATCCCCTGTCTCAAGGATCAGCTTTCAGTGGAACTCAAACTCAGACCATCGCTGCCTTCATGGGCTTACATTCTGGTGGCAGGAGGAGATGAATAATAAAATAAATGAGCAAACTACGTGATGTTATATTAAGATAGGTGTTGTAGAGGAATATAAAGTAGAGAAGGGGATAGAGTAATGGGGTGGGTATGGGTGCAATCTTAAGGCCTTGAGGAAAACACTACAGGTAAGTCAAGACCTAAAGAAGATGTAAGGTTAAGCTGTGTTAACAGTCAGGTTAGGCTGTATTATGCCAAGATAACAAGTAACTCACAGACAATGATGGCTTAAACGACAGAGGTGTATTTCTCACTGAAACCACATGTTAATTTCAGGTCAGCTGGGACATTGCTCCACATGCATTCATTTAGCAATCAGCTGAAGAAACATAGCTAGTTATTATGGGAGACAGAAAAAAAGAATTCTAGAAGGTCTCATCTTATCAAGCAAAAGTTCAGCCCTAAAGTTATACATATTGTAAGTTCTCAAAACTCATTGTCTGAAACTGGTCATGTGGCCAGGCACAGTGGCTCACTGCTGTAATTTCAGCACTTTGGGAGGCTGAGGCAGGCAGATCACCTAAGGTAAGGAGTTCGAGGCAAGCCTGGCCAACATGGTGAAACCTGATCTCTATTAAAAATACAAAAATTAGCCGGGTGTGCTGGTGTACATCTGTAATCTTAGCTACTTGGGAGGCTGAGGCACAAGAATTGCTTGAACCTGGGAGGCAGATGTTGCAGTGAACTGAGATCCTGTCACTGCACTCCAGCCTGGGCGACAAAGTGAGACTCTGTCAAAAAAAAAAAAGTAAAAAATAAAATAAAACTGGTAATGTGGCCCCACCAATCACAAGTGATGAAGGAGGTACAACTTACCAAGTGTCTGGTTGACAGAGAGATAAAAATAATCTGTGGACAGACCTACTAACACCACAGTCCACCCTTCTGGATCACCAAATATTCTGACAAAATATACACACCATCTACTAAGTGGAGAAAAACAACCATATCCAACTCAAAGTCCATGAAGGATAATTTGTCTCCACATCAGATTTGGTTATGATTTACTTGATCCAGAGACCTACAAACTAAAAAGACAAGTTGCCTGAACCCAACATGCAAGACATGAGATCTGGGTTTCAAAAAACAAACAAACAAACAAACAAACAAACATGACAAGCCATACTAAAAGGCAAAAACACAGTTTGAGGAAATAGAATAAGCATCAGAACCAGACAAACATCGCATGCCCTCACTCATATGTGGGAGCTTAAAAAGTGTATTTCATGAAGATAGAGAATAGATTGGTAGTTACCAGAGCCTGGGAAGGAGAGAGAGGGCACAGAGAGAGGTTGATCAATAGGTACAAATACACACTTTGATAGGCGAAATAAGACCCAATGTTTAATAGATAATTATGGTGACTATAGTTTACAATAATCTATTGTATATTTCAAAATAGCTAGAAAAGGCCAGGTGTGGTGGCTCACGTCTGTAATCCCAACATTTTGGGAGGCCAAGGCAGAAGGATTGCTTGAGCCTGGGAGTTTGAGACCAGCCTGGGAAACATAGTGAAACTCTGTGTCTACAAAAAAAAAAATTGTAAAAAGTAGCCCGGCATGGTGGTATGCACCTGTAGTCTCAGCTACTCAGGAGGCTAGATGGGAGGATCACTTGAACCTGGGAGTTTGAGACTGCAGTGAGATGTGTTACACCATTGCACTCTAACCTGGGTGACAGAGTGAGATACCATCTATAAAAAAATGTTTAATGTTTTTAAAAAATTGCTAGAAGAGAATAAATGTTTCTAGCATAAGAAAATACAAATATTTAGGATTACAAATGTCTTAATTAGACTTATTTGATCATTACAAATTGTATGAATGTATTAAATTATCACATATATCCCCAAAATATGTACATCTATGTATATATTTTTTAATCTTTTTTTTTTTTAAAGTGAAGGACAAGAGGTGCCCTGCCATGCCAGGCACCCACCACTGAAGCCTGGGACATACCATCTGCCTACTCACCCATTCCCTCCACAGTACATGCCAGGTGCCCTAAGTCAACTACCCTCCTCCCCTCAAGATAGCACAATATTGGGCTAACCTGCTATGTTCATGGCCACACTGTTGATTGTCCTGCTGCTGATGGTGTGTGATGAGGGGGGCATCCACTGTATTTTGTATGGCATCTTTTTAAAATCTAAATTCAAGTTTCTGCAAGAACTGATGGGAGACACAGAACCCCAAAAGGGAGATCAAGAGCATTCCGGGTCTGAAACCGAAGAAGACACTTCATTCTCTCCACATCTGAATGATCAGATTCATTCACCAAAAAAGGGTACCTGCTGATGAAGGCCACTGTCCCCACACATAGTCTGTTATTGGTGAATGATGAAAGAAAATTGCTAGCCTCTGTCTTTAGTGACTTGGCTTTGAAATTTACTAAATGACTGAAGAACATTTATACTTGGATTTTAAGTCCAAAAAAAGAAAAAAGAAAGAAAGACAAATACAGACTCAAAGACATTCCCAAACAAAAATTGAGAGAATTTGTTACCAGTAGACTTACCTTGCAAGAAATTTTAAAAGAAGCTCTTCTGACAGAAGAAAATTATATAGGTCAGAAATTCAGATCTACATAAAGAAAGGAAGGGCATTAGAGAAGGAACAAGTGAAGGTAAAATATAAAGGTTTTTTTTTTTTTTTTTTTTTTGAGACAGAGTATCCAGTTTCCCCCCAGGCTGCAGTGCAATGGTGCAATCGCGGCTCACTGCAACCTCCGCCTCCCAGGTTCAAGCAATTCTTCTGCCGCAGCCTCCCAGGAAGCTGGGACTACAGGTGCATGCCACCACGCCTGGCTAATTTTTGTATTTTTAGTAGAGACAGGTTTCACCATATTGGCCAGGCTGGTCTCGAACTCCTGACCTTGTGATCCACCTGCCTCAGCCTCCCAAAGTGCTGGGATTACAGGCCTGAGCCACTGCGCTCGACCTGTTTTTCTTATTCTGAATTGATCTGACAGATAACAGTTTGTTCAAAATAATAATAGCAAGGAGGTGGGGCAAGATGGCCAAATAGACGCCTCCACCAATTATCCTCAACACAAGAATATCAAATTGAACAACTATCCACATACAATGCACCTCCGTAAGAACCAAAAATCAGGTGAGTGATTACAATACCTGATTTTAACTTCATATCACTGAAAGAGACACTGAAGACAGTTGAAAAGACAGTCTTGTGTTGGCTATGCCATTCATCTCCCATTCTCCAGCTCCAGCCATGAGGCATGGAGAGATAATCTGTGCACTTGAGGCAGGAACAGCACAGTGATTGTGGGACTTTGCAGTGGAAATCAGTGCTTGCCTGTCACAACAGAAAACAGCAGGCAGAACTCAGGCGGCAACCACAGAGAAAGCGTTTAAACCAGCCCCAGCCAGAGGGGAATCACCCATCCCAGCACTCAGAACTTGGGTTCTAGCAAGTCTTGCCACCATGGGCTAAAGTGCTCTGTGGTTCTAAATAAACTGGAGAGGCAGTCTACACCACAAGCACTGCAATTTCTAGGCACATCCTGGTGCTGTCTTAGGCTTGGAGCCAGAGCACATGGGGGCCATATGACCTAGTGAAACACTAGCTAAGGGTGTCCAAGGGAGTGCTTATGCCAACCCTCCCTCAACCACAAGTAGCATAGCTGGCAGCCCGGGAAAAGACTCCTTCCTTCTACTTTAGGAGCAGAGAGAGAAGAATAAAGACGACTTTGCCTTGCAGTGTGGATGCCAGTGTAGCCACAGTAGGACAGGGCACAGGCAGAGTTCTGAGGCTCCCATTCCAGGCCCTAGCTCCTGGATGATATTGCTAGATACTCCCTGGACCAAAAGGAAACCCACTGCCTTGAAGGGAAGGACCCAGTCCTGGCAACTCTCATCACCCGCTGAATAAAAAGCCCTTGGGCTCTGAAAAATCAGCAGTGGTAGCCAGGCAGTACTCACCATGGGACTTAGGTGAGACTCAGAGATGTGCTGGCTTCAGGTGTAACCCAGCACATTTGAAACTATAGCGGCTGTGGGGAGTGGTTCCTTCTGCTTGAGAAAAGGAGAGGTAAGAATAAAAGGGACCTGAGATCCGGCCACTGCACTCCAGCCTGGGTGACAGAGCAAGACTCCGTCTCAAAAAAAAAAAAAAAAAAAAAAAAAGAATAAAAGGGACCTCGTTTGTGGCTTAGGTACCAGCTTGGCCACAGTTTGGTAGAGCACCAGGTAGGCTCGTAGGTTTCCTGATTCCAGGCCTTGGCTCTTGGACGATATTTCTAGATCTGCTCTGGACCAAAGGGGAGCCCATTGCCCTGAAAGGAGAGTCCTATGTCCAGAAGCATTCACTGCAAGCTGACTGAAGAGCCTTTGGGTCTTGAGTGAACATCAGCAGCAGCCAGGCAGTACTCACCTGGGACAATGGTGGCTATGAGAAGAGACTCCTCTACTTGTAGAAAGGGGAGGGAAGAGTGGGATATCATCTTGTAGCCTGGGTACAAGCTCAGTCACAGTAGAATAGAACTCCAGGCCCCGGCTCCCAGGAGACATCTCTGGACCCACCTGGGAACAGGAGGAATGTGCTACCCTGCAGAGAAGAACACAAGCCTGGCTGGCTTTGCCACCTGCTAATGGTAGAGCCCTTAGGGCCTTGCACAAACATAGGTGGTAGCCAGGCAGAGGTTACTGAGGGCCTTGGTTGAGACCCATTGCCATGCTGGCTTCAGGCCTGACCAGCATAGTCCCAGTGTTTGTAACCATAGGGGTACGTATGTCACCCCACCCCCAGCTCCAGGCAGCTCAGCAGAGAGAGACTCCATTTGTTTGGGAGAAAGTAATGGAAGAGAACAAGAGTCTCTGCCTGGTAATCCAGTGAATTTTTCAAGATCCTGTCTAAGAACACTAAGGCAGTACCTCCACAAGTCTGCAAATTCACAGCATTACTGGGCTTGGGGTGTCCCCTCATGCAGATATGGCTGCTGTGATCAAAAATTTAGATCACAACACCCAAGTCCCTCTGAATGCCTGGAAAGTCTTCTGAAGAAGGATTAGTACAAACAAGCCTCGACTTCGAAGACTACGATAAATACCCAACTCTTCAATGCCCAGATACCAACAAACTCCATAGCATCAAGACCATCCAAGAAAACATTACTTCACCAATTGAGCTAAATAAGTCACCAGTGACCAATCAAGAAGAGACAGAAATATGTGACCTTTCAGACAGAGCATTCAAAATTGCTGTTTTGAGGAAACTCAATGAAATTCAAAATAACACAGGAAAGGAATTCAAAATCCTATCAGATAAAGTTAACAAAGAAATTGAAGTAATTAAAAAGAATCAAGCAGAAATTCTAGAGTTGAAAAGTGCAAGGAACATGCTGAAGAATAATATAGCAGAGTCTCTCTCTCTTCTTTTGTTTTGTTTTGTTTTGAGATGGGGTCTCATTCTGTCACCCAGGTTGGAGTGCAGTGGTGCAATCTTGGCTCACTGCAACCTTTACCTCCTGGGATCAAGTGACCCTCCCACTTCAGCCTCCTGAGTAGTTGGACCAGAGGCACACACCACTATGCTTGGTTAACTTTTTGTATTTTTGGTGGAGACAGGGTTTCACCATGTTGCCCAGGCTGATCTTGAACTTGTAAACTCAAGTGATCTACCTGCCTCAGCTTCCCAAAATGCCAGGATTACAGATATGAGCCACAGTAACCAGTCTATCAGAGTCTCTTAACAGCAGAATTGATCAAGCAGAAGAAAGAATTAATGAGCTTGAAGACAGGCTATTTAAAAATGCACGGTCATAGGAGACAAAGTAAAAAATAATAAAAAAGAATGAAGCATGCTTAGAAGATCTAGAAAAGAGCCTCCAAAAGGCAAATCTAAGATTTATTGGCCTTAAAGAGGCAGTAGAGAGGGAGAGATAAGAATAGAAAGTTTATTCAAAGGGATAATAACAGAGAACTTCCCAAACCTAGAGAAAGATACCAATATTCAAGTATGAGAACGTTACACAACACCAGGCAGATTTAATCCAAATAAGGCTACCTCAAGACATTTAATAATCAGACTCCAAAAGGTCAAGGAGAAAGAAAGGATCTTAAAAGTAGCAATAAATAAAAAAGAAATAACATACAATGGAGGCTGGGCACTGTGGCTCATGCCTGTAATCCCAGAACTTTGGGAGGCTGAGGCAGGTGGATCACTTGAGGTCAGGAGTTCTAGACCAGCCTGGCCAACATGGTGAAACCCCGTCTCCACTAAAAACACAAAAATTAGCTGGCAGTGGTGGTGGGCGCCTGTAATTCCAGCTACTCAGGAGCCTGAGACAGGAGAATCATTTGAACCCTGGGGGCAGAGGTTGCTGTGAGCTGAGATGATGCCACCTCACTCTGGCCTGGGTGACAGAGTGAAACTCCATCGCAAAAAAAACAAGGCCGGGTGCGGTGGCTCACACTTGTAATCCCAGCACTTTGGGAGGCTGAGGTGGGCAGATCACGAGGTCAGGAGATCAAGATCATCCTGGCTAACACTAACCGTCTCTACTAAAAATACAAAAAATTAATCGGGTGTGGTGGCAGGCGCTGTAGTCCCAGCTACTCGGGAGGCTGAGGCAGGAGAATGGCATGAACCTGGGAGGTGGAGCTTGCAGTGAGCCAAGATTGTGCCTCTGCACTCCAGCCGGGGGGACAGAGCAAGACTCTGTCTCAAAAACAAAAAAAACATACAATGGAGCTCCAATATGTCTGGCAGCAGACTTCTCAGTGGAAATCTTACAAGCTAGAAGAGAGTGACATGACATATTTAAAGTGCTGATGGAAAAAACTTTTCTCCCAAAATAGTGTATCCAGCGAAAGTATCCCTCAAACATAAAGGAGAAATAATATCCCAGACAAACAAAAACTGAGGGATTTCATCAACACCAGAGCTGTTCTATAAGAAATGCTAAAGGGAGTTCTTCAATCTGAAAGAAAAGAATGTTAATAAGCAATAAGAAATCATCTGAAGGTACAAAACTCACTGGGAATAGTAACTACATAGAAAAGCACAGAATAGGCCGGGTGTGGTGGCTCACACCTGTAATCCTAGCACTTTGGGAGGCCAAGGCAGGTGAATCACTTGAGGTCAGGAGTTTGAGACCAACCTGGCCAACACGGTGAAGTACTGACTCTACTAAAATTACAAAAATTGGCCAGATGTGGTGGCACATGCCTGTAGTCTTAGCTACTTGGGAGGCTGAGGCAGGAGAATTGCTTGAATCTGGGAGATGGAAGTTGCAGTGAACCAAGATCATCCATTACATTCCAGCCTGGGCAACAGAGCAAGACTCCATCTCAAAAAACAAACAAACAAACAAAAAAAACAAAAAAAGAAAAAGAAAAGAAAAGAAAAGAATATTATAACACTGTAATTGTGCTGGGTAAACTACTTATATCCTGAGTAGAAAGACTAAACAATGAGCCAATCAAAAGTAATAACTACAATAACTTTTCAAGACCTAGACAACACAATAAGATATAAATAGAAACAACAAGTAGAGGGTTGAAGTAGAGGGATGAAGATAAACTGCTGAGTTTTCATTAGTTTTCTCTTTGCTTGTTTGTTAGTTTGTTTCCTTGTTTATGCAATCAGTGTTAAGTTGTCATCAGTTTAAAATAATAGGTTATAAGATATTATTTGCAAACCTCTTGGTATCAACTCAAAAAACATACCACAGATACAAAAGCAAGAAATTAAACATATCACCAGAGAAAGTCACCTTCACTTAAAGGAAGACAAAATCAAGGAAAGAAGGAGGAGAAGATCACAAAACAACCAGAAATCAAATAACAAAATGGCAGGAGTAAGCCCTCACCTGTCAATAATCACATTGAATGTAAATGGACTAAACTCTCCAATCAAAAGAGAGAGTGACTGAATGAATTTTAAAAAAAAATCTATTGCTTACAAGAAACACATTTCACCTGTAAAGACTCACATAGACTGAAAATAAAAGGATGGAAAAAGATACTCCACACCAATGGAAACGAAAAGACAGCAGGAGTAGCTACACTTATATCAGACAACATAGATTTCAAGACAAACACTGGCCAGGCACAGTGGATCATGACTGTGATCCCAAGCATTTTGGGTGGCCAAAGTGGGTGGATCACCCGAGGTCAGGAGTTTGAGACCAGCCTGGCCAACATGACAAAACCTCGTCTCTATTAAAAATACAAAAATTGGCCAGGCATGGTGGCACATTCCTGTAGTCCCAGCTACTTGGGAGGGTGAGACAGGAGAATTGCTTGAACCCAGGAGGCAGAGGTTGCAGTGAGCCAAGACAGTACCACTGCACTCCACCCTAGGTGACAGAGTGAGACCTAATCTAAAAAAAAAAAAAAAAAAAAAAAAAAAAAAAAAAAAAAAAAAAAAAAAAAAAAAAAGATGTCAAGACAAAAACTATAAAAAGAGACAAAAATAATATATATTATTATTATATAATAATAAAGGAGTCAATTCAGCAAGAGGATATAACAATTGCAAGCATGTATGCACCCAACACTGGAGCGTCCAGGTATATACAGCAAATATTAAAGCTAAAGAGAGAAATACACTTCACTACAATAATAGCTGGAGACTTCAACACCCCACTTTCAGCACTGTACAGATCATCAGACAGAAAATCACCAAGGAAATATTGGACTTCATCTGCACTATACACCAAATGGACCTAATGCATATTTACAAAACATTTCCTCCAATGGGTGCAGAATGCTCATTCTTCTCCTTAGTACACTATCAATTATTCTCAAGGATAGACCATATACTGGACCACAAAACACGTCTTTAAATTAAAAAAAAAAAAGAATCTTCCCAGACCACAATGTAATAAAACTAGAAATAATAACAAGAGTCATTTTGGAAACTATACAAGCACATGAAAATTAAACAATATGCTCTTGAATGACCAGTGGGTCAATGAAGAAATTAAGAAGAAAATTTAAAAAGTCTCCCAGCCAGGGAAAGCCAGGGACCCGATGGCTTCCCTACTGAAGTTTATCAAATATTTAAAGAAAACTAATACCAATTCTACTCAAACTATTCTGAAAAATAGAGGAGGGAATACTTACAAACTCATTCTATGAAGCCAGTATTACCCTGATACCAAAACCAGACAAAGACACATCAAAAAAAGAAAATGACAAGCTAATATCCCCGATGAACAATGATGGAAAAATCTTCAACAAAATATCAACAAACTGAATTCAACAAAACACTAAATTAATCATTGATCATTCATCATGACCAAATGGGCAAGGATGGTACAAGATATGCAAATAAATTAATGAAATACATTATATCAAAAAAATGAAGGAAAAAACCCATATGATTGTTTCAACTGATGCTGAAAAAGTACTTTATAAAATTCAACATTCCTTCATGACAAAATCCCTCAAAAAACTGGGCACAGAAGGAACGTACCTCAACACAATAAAAGCTATATATGACAGATCCACAGCTAGTATCACACAGAATGGGGAAAAAAGGAAAGCCTTTCTTCTAAGATCTGGAACACAACACAAGAATGCCCACTTTCACCACTGTTA